GGAGACTTGACTGATCTCTTGTAGATGTACCAGCCACCACACACATTAAGACCGGAGACTTGACTGATCTCTTGTAGATATACTAGCCACCACACACATTAAGATCGGAGTCTTGACTGATCTCTTGTAGATATACTAGCCACCACACACATTAAGATCGGAGACTTGACTGATCTCTTGTACATATACTAGCCACCACACACACATTAAGATCGGAGACTTGACTGATCTCTTGTACATATACTAGCCACCACACACATTAAGATCGGAGACTTGACTGATCTCTTGTATATATACTAGCCACCACACACATTAAGATCGGAGACTTGACTAATCTCTTGTAGATGTACCAGCCACCACACAAAAAGACCGGAGACTTGACTGATCTCTTGTAGATGTACCAGCCACCACACACATTAAGATCGGAGACTTGACTGATCTCTTGTAGATACACTAGCCACCACACACATTAAGATCGGAGACTTGACTGATCTCTTGTAGATATACTCGCCACCAAACACATTAAGATCGGAGACTTGACTGATCTCTTGTAGATGTACCAGCCACCACACACACACTGAGATAGGAGACTTGACTGATCTCTTGTAGATGTACCAGCCACCACACACATTAAGATCGGAGACTTGACTGATCTCTTGTACATATACTAGCCACCACACACAAAAGATCGGAGACTTGACTGATCTCTTGTAGATGTACCAGCCACCACACACATTAAGATCGGAGACTTGACTGATCTCTTGTAGATAAACCTGCCATCACACACACTGAGACCGGAGACTTGACTGATCTCTTGTAGATGTACCAGCCATCACACACACACTGAGACCGGAGACTTGACTGATCTCTTGTAGATGTACCTGCCATCACACACATTGAGACCGGAGACTTGACTGATCTCTTGTAGATGTACCAGCCATCACACACATTGAGACCGGAGACTTGACTGATCTCTTGTAGATATACCAGCCACCACACACAAAAAGATCGGAGACTTGACTGATCTCTTTGTAGATGTACCAGCCATCACACACACTGAGACCGGAGACTTGACTGATCTCTTGTAGATGTACCAGCCATCACACACACACTGAGACCGGAGACTTGACTGATCTCTTTGTAGATATACCAGCCACCACACACAAAAGATCGGAGACTTGACTGATCTCTTGTAGATGTACCAGCCACCACACACATTAAGATCGGAGACTTGACTGATCTCTTGTAGATGTACCAGCCATCATACACACTGAGACCGGAGACTTGACTGATCTCTTGTAGATGTACCAGCCACCACACACATTAAGACCGGAGACTTGACTGATCTCTTGTAGATATACTAGCCACCACACACATTAAGATCGGAGTCTTGACTGATCTCTTGTAGATATACTAGCCACCACACACATTAAGATCGGAGACTTGACTGATCTCTTGTACATATACTAGCCACCACACACATTAAGATCGGAGACTTGACTGATCTCTTGTACATATACTAGCCACCACACACATTAAGATCGGAGACTTGACTGATCTCTTGTATATATATACTAGCCACCACACACATTAAGATCGGAGACTTGACTAATCTCTTGTAGATGTACCAGCCACCACACACAAAAAGACCGGAGACTTGACTGATCTCTTGTAGATGTACCAGCCACCACACACATTAAGATCGGAGACTTGACTGATCTCTTTGTAGATACACTAGCCACCACACACATTAAGATCGGAGACTTGACTGATCTCTTGTAGATATACTCGCCACCAAACACATTAAGATCGGAGACTTGACTGATCTCTTGTAGATGTACCAGCCACCACACACACTGAGATAGGAGACTTGACTGATCTCTTGTAGATGTACCAGCCACCACACACATTAAGATCGGAGACTTGACTGATCTCTTGTACATATACTAGCCACCACACACAAAAAGATCGGAGACTTGACTGATCTCTTGTAGATGTACCAGCCACCACACACATTAAGATCGGAGACTTGACTGATCTCTTGTAGATGTACCAGCCACCACACACATTAAGATTGGACACTTGACTGCTCTCTTGTAGATGTACCAGCCACCACACACACTGAGATAGGAGACTTGACTGATCTCTTGTAGATGTACCAGCCACCACACACATTAAGATTGGAGACTTGACTGATCTCTTGTATATATACTAGCCACCACACACAAAAAGATCGGAGACTTGACTGATCTCTTGTAGATGTATCAGCCACCACACACATTAAGATCGGAGACTTGACTGATCTCTTGTAGATGTACCAGCCACCACACACATTAAGATCGGAGACTTGACTGATCTCTTGTAGATGTACCAGCCATCACACACACTGAGACCGGAGACTTGACTGATCTCTTGTAGATGTACCAGCCATCATACACACTGAGACCGGAGACTTGACTGATCTCTTGTAGATGTACCAGCCACCACACACATTAAGACCGGAGACTTGACTGATCTCTTGTAGATATACTAGCCACCACACACATTAAGATCGGAGATTTGACTGATCTCTTGTACATATACTAGCCACCACACACATTAAGATCGGAGACTTGACTGATCTCTTGTATATATATTAGCCACCACACACAAAAAGATCGGAGACTTGACTGATCTCTTGTACATATACTAGCCACCACACACATTAAGATCGGAGACTTGACTGATCTCTTGTATATATACTAGCCACCACACACATTAAGATCGGAGACTTGACTGATCTCTTGTATATATATTAGCCACCACACACAAAAAGATCGGAGACTTGACTGATCTCTTGTACATATACTAGCCACCACACACATTAAGATCGGAGACTTGACTGATCTCTTGTATATATACTAGCCACCACACACATTAAGATCGGAGACTTGACTAATCTCTTGTAGATGTACCAGCCACCACACACACTGAGACCGGAGACTTGACTGATCTCTTGTAGATGTACCAGCCACCACACACACTGAGATAGGAGACTTCACTGATCTCTTGTAGATGTACCAGCCACCACACACATTAAGATCGGAGACTTGACTGATCTCTTGTATATATACTAGCCACCACACACAAAAAGATCGGAGACTTGACTGATCTCTTGTAGATGTACCAGCCACCACACACATTAAGATCGGAGACTTGACTGATCTCTTGTAGATGTACCAGCCACTACACACATTAAGATTGGAGACTTGACTGATCTCTTGTAGATGTACCAGCCACCACACACATTAAGATCGGAGACTTGACTGATCTCTTGTATATATACTAGCCACCACACACAAAAAGATCGGAGACTTGACTGATCTCTTGTAGATGTACCAGCCACCACACACATTAAGATCGGAGACTTGACTGATCTCTTGTAGATGTACCAGCCACCACACACACTGGGATAGGAGACTTGACTGATCTCTTGTAGATGTACCAGCCACCACACACATTAAGATCGGAGACTTGACTGATCTCTTGTATATATACTAGCCACCACACACAAAAAGATCGGAGACTTGACTGATCTCTTGTAGATGTATCAGCCACCACACACATTAAGATCGGAGACTTGACTGATCTCTTGTAGATGTACCAGCCACCACACACATTAAGATCGGAGACTTGACTGATCTCTTGTAGATGTACCAGCCATCACACACACTGAGACCGGAGACTTGACTGATCTCTTGTAGATGTACCAGCCACCACACACATTAAGATTGGAGACTTGACTGATCTCTTGTAGATATACTAGCCACCACACACATTAAGATCGGAGATTTGACTGATCTCTTGTACATATACTAGCCACCACACACATTAAGATCGGAGACTTGACTGATCTCTTGTATATATATTAGCCACCACACACAAAAAGATCGGAGACTTGACTGATCTCTTGTACATATACTAGCCACCATACACATTAAGATCGGAGACTTGACTGATCTCTTGTAGATATACTAGCCACCACACACATTGAGACCGGAGACTTGACTGATCTCTTGTAGATATACTAGCCACCAAACACATTAAGATCGGAGACTTGACTGATCTCTTGTACATATACTAGCCACCACACACATTAAGATCGGAGACTTGACTGATCTCTTGTACATATACTAGCCACCACACACATTAAGATCGGAGACTTGACTGATCTCTTGTACATATACTAGCCATCACACACATTAAGATCGGAGACTTGACTGATCTCTTGTAGATATACTAGCCACCACACACAAAAAGATCGGAGACTTGACTGATCTCTTGTAGATATACTAGCCACCACACACAAAAAGACCGGAGACTTGACTGATCTCTTGTAGATATACTAGCCACCACACACATTAAGATCGGAGTCTTGACTGACTTGACTCTGGAACACTACAAGTGTAATGTACAAAAACATCTACACCTTTTCCAATTTCTACACCCAACTAGGCTATTTAGTCTTTTGAATCCTTCAAAAAGAGCATTGAGACTTTACTCCGTATACATTTGTTGTTATTTACCTAACACCCATTCAACGTTCATGTATTTACACCCAACTAGGCTATTTAGTCTTTTGAATCCTTCAAAAAGAGCATTGAGGCTTTACTCCGTATACATTTGTTGTTATTTACCTAACACGCATTCAACGTTCATGTATTTACACCCAACTAGGCTATTTAGTCTTTTGAATCCTTCAAAAAGAGCATTGAGACTTTACTCCGTATACATTTGTTGTTATTTACCTAACACCCATTCAACGTTCATGTATTTAGCTGTGGCGACATCCCTTCGGCTACCATCACTACCATTCTTTGATATTGACAAGCACCATGCTCACCCAACCATTTGTCTCCCCCATTGCCCCCATTACCAACCAAGCAAGACGTCACGAAACGGTGTATGCATGTGGAAACAATGTCCCAGTGTTCATAATTCATCAAAATGCTGGAGACGAAATGTTGATAGTGACAATTGTCTCGTGACTGTCTTGGCAACGAGTCCGGTACAATTGATCAACACTGTTGTCACAGTTTCATTCGTCTCGCCGGTCTCCATCGGAAAGGTTTCAGCGAGTTCGTCTTTCACAGGTCAGGTACAACTGTAAGCTCAACATGGTAAGTACAATGTTCTGGTTAAGTCAGTTACACTACATGGCGCCACAGTTGCTGATACAGATGTAGAAGTGTTTCGGGTACATCATTCTGAGTTTAATATTAGACGCTCGCTTGCACATGTGACATGGGAGTGTTGTTGCCATTCATAAGCGTTTGACAAGTCAAAATCCAGTCATGTCAATTTAGCATTATATCAAAATGTGATCCAATAGATCTCCAAGGAACAGAAGATTGAAATATGTTAAGTATTATATTCTAGATGACAATCAACAACCTGAGTATTTTATAATCATAGAGATCATTATAAACCTAGTTTGACAGCTTGGTGGTTAATGAGGTGTAGAGGTGTTGTGTAGGGTGTTTAATAAACAACTCCGATAACTTAGCTCAAGATGCGGTCAAGAAAGTAACGCGATTTGCCACGACTGTGGTATATTGTACGACCAGTAGATACAGTAGATATCCCAGGTAACAGCATAATGCCACTGACAACATGAGTAGTTAATTTAATCATTAAATGTATCATCGTTTGGCAGCTGTGTTGAGGGTTTTCACTCTTGTGTAAAATACGTGTTCCTCTTGTAAATGTTTTGATGCTAGAACACATCTATGCCGCTATGATGAACCTGTACTGAGGGCGGTGCCCGTCTACTCGAACACAAACGTATGCACAGAGGTGGCGTTTGCCTTCGATGACAACCAGAGACAAACAGTCTGGTATACCCTGCAGCATGAGATGCCCATTATTGATTGTTTTAAAACTGCGTTACGCATAACTATTTCTATCTTGATGTCGATATTTCTCTGTTAAGTTTGAGACTCTCATAAATATTTCTATTCAATATTAATGTGGAATTGATTCCCGAATCCGATGAATTAATTTAGAAAACATTTGGTGTTGCCATTAACAGAGGTCCATATTCTTGTCGTGAGTTGTGGATGCACCGAGTGGTACTTAGTCCCCTGGCAGGTTTCCATGGCAACAATTGTTTAATGTTTACATCGGCATACTAAATCAACCATTGGCGTTTACAATGCATCGATTAGAGCGAAATGATTGAAGCTATGGTGTTCTATAGTGGCGTCAATATACGATGTGTACGCATTTGTCAGATCGATCAAAGGAACATGTGAATCTTGGATGATCTGTTAAACAACAATAACAAAACGAAAATCGATACTTGTTCTTTGAACACAGATCGATGTTGCTGGAGAAAGGGCGTTTAGCCCGGGTACGCCGACTGCCGAGAGACTGAGACACGTCTTTCAGGCACTCATGAGTCGTTACAACCTTGAACCTTGATCAACAAGATCATTTACTCATCAGGAGACCTAACAGTATAACATGTTTGACGAATGCTGACAGTAACGACAGTAACACATGACGTATTCACACGGATATCACATACATATAACATATGGCGTATTGACATGGATATCACACACATATAACCCATGGCGTATTGACATGGATATCACATACATATAACCCGTGGCATATTGACGTGGATATCACATACATAAGAGGGATATATAGGAAATATCGTCCATGTTAAGATGCTGACTAAGTCGTAAGCATGTCTTTGTAAATCAGTATCAACGATGATAAGAGGGCGTATCCTGGAACAGGTCATAAATACGTGCAAATACTAGTCAAGTTCATCACAAGAAAAAAACGTGCGTAAGAATACGACATGCCAGGTGGTTGCATCGAATATCATTTTAGTTATTGATGTGTCAAACTTGGAATAGCTTCAACATGTCTACCACTAAACTTTCTGAAAGATTTACTTGCACTCTGAATTTTGTAAACCTATCATGTGAGCGCTATGAGTGAGTGAGTGAGTGAGTTTAGTTTTACGCCGCACACAGCAATACCCCAGCTACATGACGGCGGTCTGTATATAATCGAGTCTGGACCAGACAATCCAGTGATGAACAGCATGAGCATTGATCTACGCAACTGGGATACGATGACATGTGTCAACCAAACCAGCGAGCCGATCGGGTTTGTCGCCTCTGACGACAAGCATGGTTTACTGAAGACCAATTTTAACCCGGATCTTCATGGGTATATGAGCGCTATGAATACTACTAGTTGCACAGTAAAACCTGAATAATATATCCTATATTTCACATAGCAACGATTTTTATAATAGAAGAGAAAGCTATGAAGCTATTTGTGATTAACAAACATTCATCTTTCTTTAACAGTGTTGTGCACTGTCTAGTGTTAGTCCACAAACTTGTTTTTAGGCAAGATGCTGGTTCTAACATTATTCCTTCTTTCCAGAGGGAATGCATTTCTATTCACGTCGGCCAGGCCGGATGTCAGATGGGCAATGCATGCTGGGAGTTGTATTGCCTGGAGCATGGCATCCAGCCTGATGGTCAGATGCCCTCGGACAAGACGATTGGTCATGGAGACGATTCCTTCAACACCTTCTTCAGCGAGACTGGAGCAGGGAAACACGTCCCTAGGGCCATCTTCGCAGACCTCGAGCCTACTGTTGTCGGTAAGGAAATTTTAAAAACAAATGAAAAGTAAACTTGATGCATAAAATTTGGTTGTATGTGGGATTAGTTGTACGACGATCATAGTCTCAACTAAACCTACGACACACGTCTCATCATTTCTTTCATATGAAACTCAATTCGGAAGTGTACAAAACATTGTGGCCTATCTTAAAGATGCTGGCAATTTCCCTCTAAGTAGTTGTAAACATGTTTGTCTTAAAATTGTTTGAAAGAAAAGGTCCATTTCTGTTCAACAGATGAGGTCCGTACCGGCACCTACCGCCAGCTGTTCCACCCCGAGCAGCTCATCACCGGCAAGGAGGACGCCGCCAACAACTACGCCCGTGGCCACTACACCGTGGGCAAGGAGCTTATTGACCTTGTCCTTGATCGTATCAGGAAGTTGGCTGACCAGTGCTCTGGACTCCAGGGCTTTCTCATTTTTCACAGCTTTGGGGGTGGTACTGGCTCCGGCTTCACTTCACTACTTCTTGAGCGTCTTAGCGTTGACTACGGCAAGAAATCTAAGCTTGAGTTTGCCATCTATCCAGCCCCTCAGGTGTCTACCGCCGTGGTGGAACCCTACAACTCCATCCTGACCACTCACACAACCCTGGAACACTCTGATGTGGCCTTCATGGTCGACAACGAGGCTATTTACGATATTTGCCGACGTAACCTTGACATTGAACGTCCAACGTACACCAATCTGAACCGTCTGATTGGTCAGATTGTCAGTTCCATCACGGCCTCTCTCCGATTCGACGGTGCCCTGAACGTGGATCTGACCGAGTTCCAGACCAACTTGGTGCCCTACCCACGTATCCACTTCCCTCTGGCTACCTATGCCCCAGTCATTTCTGCGGAGAAAGCCTACCACGAGCAGCTCTCTGTGGCCGAGATCACCAACGCTACATTCGAGCCCGCCAACCAGATGGTCAAGTGTGACCCCCGTCATGGCAAATACATGGCCTGCTGCATGTTGTACCGTGGTGATGTAGTTCCAAAAGATATCAACGCTGCCATCGCCACCATCAAGACCAAGAGAACCATCCAGTTCGTCGACTGGTGTCCTACTGGTTTCAAGGTCGGCATCAACTACCAGCCACCAACAGTTGTCCCCGGTGGTGACCTGGCCAAGGTCCAGAGAGCCGTCTGCATGTTGGCAAACACCACCGCCATCGCCGAGGCCTGGGCTCGTCTTGATCACAAGTTCGATCTGATGTACGCCAAGCGAGCCTTCGTCCACTGGTACGTGGGTGAGGGTATGGAGGAGGGAGAATTCTCTGAGGCCCGTGAGGATTTGGCTGCTCTGGAGAAGGACTACGAGGAGGTTGGAGTTGACTCCATGCAGGACGAGGAGGAAGAAGGAGAGGAATATTAGACAAATATACCTTGGTCATATCCGTTTAAACGTAAGGGTATTAGAAAAATAACATCCGTACAGGGAAAGATGATTTTCAACCTTTTCTAATCAGCTTCTCTTGTATGCAGTCCAGTTAAATGTCACATTCTTTGCTTACTCACCCTTGGTGTTTTTGTTCATACGTCGTTTTAAGCTGTATTCTAGTTAAAACACAGAGTGTCATTTGAGGAAACTATTTGATCAAGTAGAAATAAACTAGATGATTTACCATATATTATTGAATTTTAATTTAAAAGACATTGCCTTTTTTGTTTGAACTGAGACTCTCCCTATAACTGTTACTTTATGACATCCATGTCGATCTCAGTACTAAACTGAAATAAAATACTGCTGTTATCTACTTTCACCAGTTGTTTTGTCTCCCTCAACATAATTATCATGTTAAAATGGTTGTGTATGTCACGGACTGTTCTATCATATCTCCCCATCTGGATGGAGACGATTCACGGAGACCAATTACTCACAAACTACTAAACGGAGATTCCATTCTCTCTCTCTCACACACATGCACGCACGCACACACAAACACACACACACACACGCACACGAACACACACACACGGATCCTTTACGACTACATGTACGGATGTTCGATTATCTAAGTCAACCAAGGTTATCACATTTGAAGAAACTCGGAATGCAAACTGAGACATATGGCTTTCGGGAGGTAACACACCATAGTCTGATGAATTAACGACAACACTGAAACAGACACACAAAACTACAAGGGGCTAATTGCAGTAATTGGCTGTAAAGCTATTTTGGTAACCATGATAACCCTTCTTAGTAACAGAAGTAACAGGAGAATACAGTTCAAATAACGAGTAGTAAATCAACAGAGAGGCATTTTTTGTAGAAGTTGCAGTATTGGTTTAATGTACTAATATCAAAGAAACCAAAGTTATATTTCTTGAGGCATGTCAAAATGCGTATATAGTATCAATATGGACCAGACAATCCAGGGATCAACAGCATGAGCATCGAACTGCGCAATTGGGAACCGATGACATGTCAGCCAAGTCAGCGAGCCTGACCACCCGATCCCGTTAGTCGCCTCTTACGACAAGCATGGGTTACTGATGATCAATTCTAGCCCGGACCTTCAAGGGTAAAATAATATATAAAAGAAAGGACACAATGATGTGGTATAGAGGTTATCATTTATTTGTTAAGGTCGATTGAATGAACTCAATAATCACGATGCCAAAAATCGGTTCCATGTTGTTACATAATTTATCAACAAAAAGCGTAAACAAAGTGTCAAGCCATAAGAAATTAAATCTGATGTTTTAAACGTTCAGTAGCGTGTATGGCTACCCCGTGCGTTCACAGCTGTCAAGCAACGCCTACTTATGGACTGTTTGATGCGTGTAGACACATTATTGGGTAGTCAGTGCCATTGTTCCTGCAAAGCAGCACCAAGATCGTGCAAATTCTGGGTTGGTTCCTGAGAGTGCGCAGACGTCTACCAAATGTATCCCAGATGTGCTCGATTGGATTGAGATCAGGTGACCTTGATGGCCAGTCAAGTACGTTGATTCCTGTGTTCTGCAGGTAATTTCTGGTCAAGATGGCTGTATGGGGTCTGGCATTGTCATGTTCACACATGACACAAACCTGTACCATGTGCTACCATGAATGGAGTAAGTTCATATGGATGGACCATGAATGGACTAGCAGTAACTTGCAGTATTAATTGAGGTTCCCACGGATAACCACAAATCGGGAATGGGCAATCCCACAGAAAGCACCCCAAACCATGACATTGATGGGAACAAGTGACACGTGTTTTAGCACTATTGTGGTGAATTTTTTCTTGAGTCGATACGTGGGGATTAATATGATACCCGAAAACTGCCTACTGTAACAATTTATAGATTTATTACAAATATGACTTGTGAAGTTTTTCCTTTGACGCAGTATATATACTTACCTTGAAATATGATACAAAGAACCTTGAATTTCAACATTCCTGTTCCTATTTGATATATCACAACACTAATGAGACGGTTTCTGATTTTGCCGCTCTTGGTCAGTATAGATTTTGTTTCGTAAATACGTTTTATACTGCGGGTGGAACAATCCTCCACAAACCGTTAAATGTTTGGGAACCCATCACCCAAAAAAGTCACGTAAACTGTGTGGGAACCAGTCACCGAGAGACAGTCACCGTAAACTGTGGCGGAACCAGTCATCCACAGACAGTCACCGTAAACTGTGGCGGAACCAGTCACCCACAGACAGTCACCGTAAACTGTGGCGGAACCAGTCACCCACAGACAGTCACCGTAAACTGTGGCGGAACCAGTCATCCACAGACAGTCACCGTAAACTGTGGCGGAACCAGTCACCCACAGACAGTCACGTAACTGTGTGGGAACCAGTCACCCACAGACAGTCACTGTAAACGGTGGAGGAACCAGTTACCCAGAGACAGTCACTGTAAACTGTGGGACAACCAGTCACCGAGAGACAGTTACTGTAAAATATGTGGGAACCAGTCACCGACAGAAAGTTGCTGTAAACTGTGCGGAACCAGTCGCCAACAGACAGTCACTGTAAACTGTGGAGGAACCAGTCGCCCAGAGACAGTCACCGTAAACTGTGGGAGTGAGTGAGTGAGTTATTATTCAACGTCACATCGGCAATATTTCAGCCATATCGGTAAACTGTGGGAGAACCAGTCATCCAGAGACAGTCACCTTAAACTGTGGAGGAACCAGCCACCCAGAGACAGTCACCGTAAACTGTGGGAGTGAGTGAGTGAGTTATTATTTAACGTCACATCGGCAATATTTCAGCCATATCGGTAAACTGTGGGAGAACCAGTCATCCAGAGACAGTCACCGTAAACTGTGGAGGAACCAGTCACCCAGTGACTGTGGGAGTAGTGAATTGGCTATGATCAAGTTTCCATTAAATATGTGCATTTTATGATTAAGCACAAAAGTTGGTCATCATTTTCAAGAACATTTCTGAAATAATTTGGAGGCACATATTTTTATGTCCGTGTGCGCATGTGCAGTAGACAAAAAATGTCGCAATGCTTTCAATGTTTCCTCTTACATAGTCAGCAAATGCAATCATTACAAACCAATAATTTCACAATTAATTGTTTACAGGTACAGGAAAAGAGTGAGTGAGTTTTACACCGCACTCAGCAATAATCCAGCTATATGGCGGCGGTCTGTAAATAATCGAGTCTGGACCAGACAACCCAGTGATCAACAGCATGAGCATCGACCTGCGCAATTGGGAACCGATAACATGTGTCAACCAATTAAGTCAGTGAGCCTGACCACCCGATCCCGTTAGTTGCCTCTTACGACAAGCAAGGGTTACTGAAGGTTCATTCTAACCCGGGCCTCAAACCGAAACATGAGTCTCATTAACCGATTCAGACAATGACTTACTTTTCAGCCGATCCGAATGTTCTCGTAAAATGATTCACAATTCATTTGGCTCACTGGTTACACCTGTTATGTATTTTTTGCGCTTATTCGGTGGAGTTCTGTAACGCACAGTGTGATTGATATAATATCAAGTCCGTACGAGATCGCCAATTTTTTCTAGCGGCAACGCCTCGTTTTGAGATTTCCACGATTTCCGTTTTTCAGAGGACGCTGCACGACAAAGCACGCTGCACAACGTGTTTGCAAGGCTTAGATGAAGTGCAGTGTTGCAATATACATGTATCAAATAATACTGATAAATATTTATGTATCCAGTTGAATGAATTCTGGACTGGTTATTGTACTAACTTGCGCAATAGGACGGAGCTAAGCCAGCAGGAAACGAGACTGTTGTGTAATCAATGTTTTGACTTGCACGGTTTAAAGGTCAAAAATCTTCATTGTGCATGAAGGCCACCGGCCCATATACATATAACATATATACAATCAAAATATATTGGAAACACGATGTAAAACAATTAAGAGTTTTTATAAGCAGTATATATGGATTTGCATAAATTTAATAATGCTTCATTTGAAGCGGACGTTAACAGGCTTTTGAATATAAATATATTTGGAATTCGGTTGTAAACATACAGAAAACAACGTAATTTTTCTTTAGAATAATATTTGCATACTAAAAGAAAATGGAATTCATCCTCTTTACCGAATTTACAAACAGGACAAGTGCGTACAGATACATCAATATTTAACCACCTTCCTTCATTTATTTTTAATCGTAATAGGCCTGCTCGGAACTTTATAAGAATATTACGATATTTGTTTATATGTATGACGCTTAAATATTTTTCAGGTTCTAGTAAACTCTTAAATTCTCTTTACAAATTGTAGCGTGAACTTTTGTTGAGAGTACAGTGCCAAAATTTGTAAAACATATTTACACATACATCTTTAAAACATCTAAGAAAATCAACTTTATTGCCTACACTTTGTGTTAACCATACAAAGCCAAATCCACGTGAAAAAAGTATATATTACGAATATGAGAAGCATGATTATTTTGCCTAATGTTATCTAAATATACTGACATGTCATATGATTTTTGGGGTATTCTACCAGAGTGCATTTCTGTAAGTTTTAACCAATATTTAATAACTCGACATAAGGCATTTATATACAAAGGATATCGTCCACATTCGCCATATACTATAACATTAGGCGTTTGTAATCCTACCTTTAGAAATTTCTTACATGCAAGCAAATGAACTTTTTCAATATTCTCATAGCGGCTAACCCCCCATACTTCCGCACCATAAAGTAAAATTGGTTGAATTTGTGAATCAAATATTTTAAAGAATACCTTACGATCAGTCACATCAATCTTTCTTAAGTTATATAATATTTGTAATAATGCTCTTTTTCCCGTCAGTGCTAGATCGTCTGTACATTTATTCATTTTAAACGTGGATGTAAATATAATACCAAGATATCTATATGAATTCACAACATCAATAATAGAGTCTTTATAATACCATTTTTCTTTAGCTGATAATCGCCCACCCCTTCTAAAAACAGCAATATTGGTTTTATCGAGGTTGACTTAAGTCCCCATTTATCAGAATATGATTCTAAAATATTCAATTGTTTTTTGTAGTCCCGAAGCTACGTCAGATATGAGAATGACGTCATCTGCAAAAAGTAGTAGCAATATCTCTAAAAAATCAGGAAACAGCTGTACACCAAATTTACCACTTTCTACAATATCAGTACACAGTTCACCAATAAAAAGGAAAAAAGAAGTGGACTTAAAATACACCCTTGTCTTAGACCGACTGGTCAATAAAAAAAATCTGTGTGAACATTATCGTTGCATCTTACACAAGCTTTAACGGATACATATATACTTTTTATTGCAGCTAGCATTTTGCCA